TTTCACCAGGTGGGGGAAGTTTTCTGTCATTATTTCTTCAAATAGGTTTTCAATATCTTGCTCTCTCTCTTCTTCTGGCACCCCTATAATTCGGATGTTGGTACGCTTGAAGCTGTCCCAGAGGCTCCTTATACTATCTTCATATTTTTGGATTCTTTTTTCACTTTGCTTTTCTGGTTGGGTGTTTTTTGCTTCTTCATATTTCAAATCTTTGACTTGATTCTTGCGATCCTCTAGTCTGCTGTTGGAACTCTGTATAATATTCTTTATTTCAGTCAGTGTATGCTTAATTTCTAGTTGGTCCATTATCACAACCTCGAGGATCTCATTAGATTTCTTGAGGGTCTCATTAAGTTTATCGGTGGTTTCTAGAAAATTCTTGAAAAACCTTAAGTGTGGTTTTGAACTCTATATCCAGTAGTTTGCTTTCCTCCATTTCTGTCATTTGTGTCCTGTTTCTTTGTCTCCGCATTTTTTTATGCTTCGCTGTGTCGACAGAGTGGCTTTCTGTGCTAGGTGTCCTATAGGGCCCAGTGGCTCAGCCTCCCCAATTACCTGAGGTAGACACTCTTGGTGCACCCCTTTGTGGGCTTTGTGCACAGTCTTGTTGTAGTTAAGCCTTGATTGTTGTAGGTAACACTGGGAGGGATTGACCTCCAGGCCAATTGGCTGTGAGAATCAGCTGTGCAATGGTGGGTGAACTTCTGTGCTGGAGATACCCTTATGAGGCAAGACTTGCTTCAGTGGGGCTTTGGTGCTCACTGAGTCTGCCCCCTGAGTGTGTCCTTTATGAATCCGAGGAGCTGCAATCTGGATGGTCCCACTCTGACCTCCGGGCACACTGGCTCCTGGATCTCTAAGGAGGTGCTAATCTAGCCTCTGCCTGAGGCTATCCAGCAGGAGCCAGCTGTGACACAATGCAAGCTGCCCTGGGGCCTTGGGCCAGCTGCAGTTTGTTAGGTAATTATCAGATTGCAAAGGGCCAGGCCTTTCATATGCAAAAGCCTCCGTGGCTTGGGCAGGGCGGGGTCCCAGGGGGTCAACAGGGCGGAGTGAGCAGTTATGGCTGCTCTCAGTCCTGCCCTCAGAGGCCCTGCTTCTCAGTGTCCCGGCAATCGCTGCAAGCACCCCCGAGAGAAAGCTGCCCTCGAGTTCCAACCGATGCCAGACAGTCCAGTTTCTCCCGTATGAGTCTGGGTCCCCAGAGACTCGCCCGGAACTGGAGCTCAGAGCTTGAGACTCCCTCCTGATTGAAAAAGACAACCGTGTCCTCAGCCGCCAGCCCTCTCCGCATGCGCCTCTGTACCTCTGTATTTTACTTCCGCACTGCACCTCCTATGAGTCTCGGTGTGCTTTTCTCTTTCCTTCTAGTTGTAGAATTTCCACTCAGCCAGCCTTCCTGTGGTTGTGGATGATGTCCGTTCCGTCTTTTAGTTGTATTTTTGAAGTGGTTGTGCGAGGCAGCAATCTCCGGTGTTTACCTATGCTGCCATCGCCATCTTGGTTTCTCTCCATCTCGCTCAGTCTTGATCAACTGGACCCCAGTAGCAAGCTAACCTACCAGTCGAAGCATCTGCCCCCTGGTGGTCACTGCACGTCCTTGCAAATGGTTGAGTGGCCTTAGCATATCATTAGCATATTACCCTTTGATTGGTTGAACAGACAACTGGAACAGACACTTAGCATATTAGGCTTTTATTATATAGGACGAATAGCCCGGTGCACAAAATTCGTGCACTGGGGTGGGGGGGGGAGGGGGAGAAGGGACCCCTCAGTCTGGCCTTCACCCTCTCCAATCTGCGACCCCTCAGGGAATGTCCAACTATCTGTTTGTGCCCACACTTTTTACAGATAACAGCTCCATTGTTGTTCCTTTCTTATGCTTAAAACCAATGGAATTAGTAGGTATTCAAAGTGTGTATACATTTTGGGGGGACACCCTCTAGTCAGTGGTGAAAGAAACCAACAGCAGATTTGGAACCCCCAGACAGGGAACCTTGCTCATCATTCCCCACATGTCTCCCCACTTCACTTTCCACCTTCGTGGGCAGCAGGAGAATCAATGTTTTCTCTCACTAATTCGGAAAAGCATGTCCTGTCACCCGTTGCCTGGCAGGAGTGCGCTAGGCCCCAAGCAAGCGAGGCTCAGTCAGGGCAGCCTATGCTCATGGGTGCTGGCACCCAAAATACACATTCCTCCTCTACAGTCGCCCCGACTATCCCACTGTTTCACTGAGAGGACGGAATTCCTCTCTGCCTCTGGGTTCTTGATCTTGAACGCTGACCGAAGGCACCTCAGCGAGGGCCGCCCGTGCCCACCAGGTGTGTCTATCTGCACCTGCTCCTGCCTCAGCACCTGCATTAACCCCCCAGAGGTGATCTCGTAGCTGCACTGGCCTCCGTGGGAACAGGGCATCACCACTCCACCCTCTCACTGTCATCTCACAGGCGCCCACTCTCAGCACCCAGAACACCTAGACACTCTCCAAAGGATGTGAGCGCATCAGAGGGGATGTGTGCACATCCTGTGGGGGTGTTAGGCATGCCGGGTTGATGGAAGTGCGGTGGAGAGGCGGGGGGAACTTGTGTACGCCTTGGTTTGCAACTGTTGCAGGCGCGGGAGGGTGACAGTGTGCTGGGGGATGTTCGCATGCCAGGGGGGGATGTGCACACTGGAGGCCTCTGGCTTTGCAGATCCGCAAACCCCCGTGGTGCGGCCAGGAGGACATCAGTCTGGCCCGCCACGGTGGCTGTCCCTGCGATCCTGCACCTTCTGGGCCAGGAGGCGGATCTTGCGCAGTCACTCCTGGGCACTGATGGCTGCCTCCCCACCGTGAAGGGTCACAGATCCGGGTCCCGGGACAGCGGACAGCCTCAAGCACTGCCGCCCCGCCTGGCAGGGTCACAGATCTGAGTCCTGGACTGCGGACAGCCTCAAAGCACTGTCCCCCGCCTGGCAGGGTCTCAGATCCGGGTCCCAGACCGCAGATAGCCTTGCCTGCTGCCGCCTGCCTTCAGTATGCAAATTAGCCGCCATCTTGTTGCTTCAGGGTGGGGGTCCCCACTGGGGTGCTTGGCCAGTCTGGGTGAGGGGCTGAGGGCTGTTTTCAGGCTGGCGGGCAACTGAAGCTCCAAACTTCTCCTTTTTTTCTTTTTTTTTTATTCTGGCATTTATTTACCTTCTATGGCTGTCACTGGAGCTGAGAGCCGGCTTTCTCTCTGAGGCTCGGCTGCTGAAAGCAGGTTTCTGGCCTTTGTTTACCTTCTGTATTCGAAACAATGTTGCGGTCTTGCTGGCTGAAGCCTGGCTGACTAAAGCCGGTTTCTGGGGTTTTGTTTAGCTTCTATATTTTTTACAATGTTTCTTAGAGTTGCAGCTCCGAGGCCGGCAGCGCAGGTGGGGAAGCTTGGCTTCCTCCGTCACTGAAGCAAGGAAGCCTCCCTGTTCGCTTCAAGCTGCCTGGCTGCCGGCCGCCATCTTGGCTGGCAGTTAATTTGCATATCTCCCTGATTAGCCAATGGGAAGGGTAGCGGCCATACGGCTAATTACCATGTTTCTCTTTTATTAGATAGGATTGTTATAATTGTCCTATTTTATCATTAGTTATTGTTAATCTTTTCTGTGCCTAATTTGTAAATTAGTCTTTATCATATATATGCATTTATAGGGAAAACATGGTATATATATAGAGCTTGATACTATCTGCAGTTTCTGGCATCCACTGAGGGTCTTGGAATGTGCCCCATGCGGATAATGGGGGACTACTGTACCTGATATATATTAGGATGATTCCATACCCAGAATAGGTAAACCCACACAGAAAGCAGACTGGTGGTTGTTCAGGGATGAGGGAGGGGGAATGGGGAGTGACTGCATGATGGCACAGGCCTTCTTTGGGAGCGATGACAAGGAATTAGAAGGAGAGAATTGAAGGTGCACACACCGTGCATGTACTAAATGCCACTAAGCTGGGTACTTTAGCTAATTTTACCAACTTCCAGTATCATTTATTTTTCCTAGAATCTGGATAAAATTAACTGTAGCAAGACAGTGCTCAATACTATTTAAGCCTCATTTTAGGTTCTATAAACTTTCTCAGTATTTGTAAATGTGAATTTCTCATTTCAGTAAAATTGAAAAAATAAAAATGATACTGGAAGTTGGAAAAAAAAAAGCTAATTTTATGTTATGTAAATTTCACCTCAATTTAAAAAAATCTCAATAGTCATGATTTCTAAAAACAGTGTATTACTTTCCTTGATAAAAAGCTAAGTTTTACAAAATACATACCATATAATTTTATTTAGACGAAGTTCTACACAAAAGGCAAAACTATAGGACCAGAAAATAGATCAATGGTGGCCTTGGGCCAGGTTTGGGTGTACTGACTAGGAAGGGGCGTGAGGGAACATTCCAGAGTGATAGATCTGTTCTGTATTTCAACTACGGGGGCAGTGATAGGGGCGTATACATCTGTCAAAACTTAGACTGTAAACTTTCTTTGTATTTTATTATATGTCAACTAGAGGCCCGGTGCACGGATTTGTGCACACTGAAAGGAAATTAATTAGAAGAAATATTTTAGAGACTGAGGAGGGACCGAGGGAGACTGGCTCCAGGGCGTGTTTGGCCTATCTCGCCCAGTCCCAATCGGCGAACCCCAGCAGCAAGCTTACCTACTGGTCGGAGCATATGCCCCCTGGTAGTCAGTGCGCGTCATAGCGACTGGTCGAATAAACGGTCGGACACTTAGCATATTGGGCTTTTATTATATAGCATTACACCTTGATGAAGTTGGTGTTAAAAAGGTGAGTCTTGATCACTCTTTAAAGGCCAGGGTAGGCATTCCATGCTACTCTACTTCCCCGGTATGATTAGAGTGTGCTTGTGACCTTATTGTGCACAGCAGTGTGGACGTTATACATTATAAGTGGTCATAAACAAAAGGCAAACTGCCAAAGAGTCCGAATACTAGGATAATGAAATCATGGTTGCTTACCAATTCTGGAAGAGGACAAATGGTGCCAGTATTCATGTACAAGCCTTCAACTACAATAAAACGTCGAGTTACACGTGCCTTGCGAGGATTCTTTAAAAGAAAAACCATAAACATTTAAATTTTAGTAAATCCAAATTACAAAAATCTATTACAAGATTTATTCACCAAAATAAAAAAAATTGATAGTGTGAATTTCAAGCCCACGTTTGAGATCGTGCTATTATGCGAGGAAAAACAGTGCTTTCTCCTCTCAGACATGTTTTTCAGCTCCTGCAATGAACTAGGAGACACCACACACACACACACACACACACACACACGCACATACGGTTGAGGCACTCTGAGACTATTATCACACAAACAAAACCCTCCAAGCTCAGAATGACTGGGAAGGAATGACTGGGAAGGTACCCAGGGAACTTTCTGGGATGACAGGGTGTTTGATGTCATGATAGAGGCCATGATACTTGGGTTATATGGTTCCAACCATTGGTAAAAAGGCAAGGATTTGTGCGTTTCAGTGTCGGTTAATTTTACCTAAAATATAAACTATAACAATGATGCCAATCATCATCATAGAGATGTAGTGGGGAATTAGATTGTGGTTCAGAGGATAGAAGAACGGCAGAATGTTGATAACAAGCTGGGAGAAGGGTATAGGGACTTCATTATATTATTCTGTTCCCTTTGAAAGTGCCCAGAATTTTCCATAATAAAAACACAGACAAAGCCTACTTTATACTTCTTTTACCAAAAAAACAGATGAAACCCCTTTCTTTACTCCGCACTACTGGGTCAGGGAAACCTGACTATGACCTCATCCAGTGATGCTGGAAGGCAGTGGTGTGGAGGGATTTTTTTCAGACAACACACACCTGCCCTGCCCCTCGGTGATTCCAAGTCCCTCTGCCAAATGTGTAGATGCTTCCTACGTGCTGGGCTGAAAACACTGAGGTCCGCAGAAGTTTACCACCACCTTCCTACTCAAAGTTTCTTGCCTCTAAGCTCCTGTCTGATGGACATCTAGAAACTCCAATGCCAGAGCTCTGCTTTAAGGGGTGCTTAGAACAGAAGGCTGGGACACTCCGAAAGTTGTCACAGTATGCTGAAGTATCCACCACTGAGTTTGCTTGGTCATCTCTACTCTGCCATTAACACAAACTTCAAGGCCACAGGTCTGCTGGGGACATGGGGGCATCCTGCCTTTCCCTGCCTTTTAAAAACAAAGTATCTTATTTAGGATTTGAAAATATTCAATGTAAAACTCTTAGGAAATAACAAAGTACAAAAAACAATTTAACAAATTAGCTCTTCACAACCACACATTGATAACTTTTGTCATTCTTGTAAAAAGCATCCTATGCTATATAACAAAAGGCTAATATGCAAATCGACCAAACTACAGAATGGCTGGTTGCCATGACATGCATTGACCACCAGGGGGCAGATGCTCAATGCAGAAGCTGCCCCTGGTGGTCAGTGCGCTCACACAGGGGGAGCGCCGCTCAGCCAGAAGCCCTGAGCCAGGCTCATGGCTGGCAAGCGCAGCGGCTCTGTGGCAGTGCTAAGGATGTTCGACTGCCGGCTTAGGCCGGCTCCCAGGAGCATGCCTAAGCCGTCAGTCGGATATTCCCCAAGGGCTCCTGGACTGCAAGAGGGCACAGGCGGGGCTGAGGGACACCCACCCCCCTGAGTGCACGAATTTCATGCACTGGGCCTCTGGTATCTTTATAAATTACATTGTTCAAATCAGGATTTTACTGGAATAGTTTTAGGACATGGATTTTATGATATTACTAGAGGCCCGGTGCATGGATTCATGCACATTGAAAGGAAATTAATTAGAAGGTGCCCAGCAGAGCGAGACAGGGCGAGATGGGCTGGACACACCCTGGAGCCAAGCTCCTGTGGTCCCTCCCAGGCCAGCTGCACCTGGGGCGGCGCCAGGGCACGAAGGGCGTCTGCAGAGTGAGCGGGGTCCCTCTGGCAGGTGGGGTCCCTCGGCCTGGTCTGTGAGGATTGGGCTGAAACCGGCAGTCCAACATCCCCCAAGAGGTCCCGAAGTGCAAGAGGGCACTCTGCAAAGTTTCTGTCGCTCAGCAGCTCCTGTGTTGAGCATCTGCCCCCTGGTGGTCAGTGTGCTTCATAGCTACTGGCCAGTTGCTTAGGCTTTTATATATAGACTAGAGGCCCGGTGCACAAAATCCCTACAGGATCAGGCCTAAACCAGCAGTCAAACATCCCTCTCACAATCCAGGACTGCTGGCTCCTAACCGCTCACCTGCCTGCCTGCCTGATCGCCCCTAACTGCCTCTGCCTTCCGGCCCTGATTGCCCCTAAATGCTCTCCCCTGCTGGCCTGATTACCCCTAACCGCCTCTGCCTCCGCCCCTACCACCGTGGCTTTGTCCGGAAGGAGGACTGGACAACCAGAAGATGTCCGGTCTATCGGGTCTAATTAGCATATTACCTTTTTATTAGTATAGACTGGAGGTCCAGTGCACGACATTCATGTACTGGGGTGGGGTGGGGGGGGGCAGGCAGGGCCCTCAGCCTGGCCCGCACCCTCTCGCAGTCAGGGACTCCTCAGGGGATGTCCGCATGCTGATCGCCCCTAACCCCTCTGCCTGCCTGCCTGGTGGACATCCTTAGCGCTGCCATGGAGCCGCTGCGCTCACCAGCCATGAGCCTGGCTCAGGGCTTCTGGCTGAGCGGCACTCCTCCTGTGGGAGCACACTGACCACCAGGGAGCAGCTCCTGCGTTGAGCATCTACCCCCTGGTGGTCAGTGCGCATCATAGTGACCGGTCGTTCCACCGTTCAGCTAATTTGCATATTAGCCTTCTATTATATAGGATGTTATGAGCATTTCCACATTACTTAATATTATTTAAAACATGATTTTAGGGGAGAAATTCTACCTTGTAGGTTTACCATAAATTAACAATTCTCCTAATGTTCCATTTAGGCTGTTTCCCTTGTTTTGCTTTTTTACGTCAAATCGTAAATATCTTTCAATTTCTGACACCATTTCTGATTATCTTCTATAATAGCACCCCACATCCCAGTCCCAAGGGTACAGCTACTTAAGAATACTGGAATGTGACTGCGTCTAAAGGCCGTGCCAATGAAACCCCCAAGAGGGCCCTCTCTCTCATCACACATGTCTGTGTTGAGGCTGATTATTACGATTAAAAAATGTTCCCTAATTGGGCAAGTCAAAACTGCTAGCCTACTTTCTCTGATAATCTTTCTCAGATTATTTTTCACATGCTTAGTTATTTGTATTTCTTCCATAAAATGCTTGACTTATTTATTTTTAGAAGAATATATGACAAGAGAACGCTGTAGGAAAAGGAACAAGAAACATCTTGGGAAATTAACACCACCCCCCAAAAATTTGATCCATACCTGGACTATACTATAATATTTTAATTCAGTTTCAAAGGAAAGATAAGCATCTAAGTAGAAAATATTCAAAAATTTAACATTTATATAAAACTGAAAAAGAATCACCTTTAAAAATAAAAATGTAGAGTAAATTAGAAAACCTACTCTTGGCAGGAAAATATAGTATAAATTAATTAGTAAAAACTATAACATGGAAATACATTTTCAAGATAATTTTATTTTTTATAAAAAAAGTTCACAAGTAATATAAATCTGGTAAAGCTTGTGCGTGCGCACACACACACACACACACACACAGAAACTTTAATGTCATGTTTTCCAGATTTGTACAATACTTATTTGGCAGAATAAACTCTACAGCAGACTGGTCATTGGCCATATTCCTCAAGGCAATGTTCTTCAGTCTGGTAGCATGCTATTACTAAGTCAGAACAAGGGACATTTTTTTATGATTTTTAGAAAAGTCATCAATGGAATAGTTTCAATGTTAAGATTTCCTAGTTGTGCCCAGCCGGTATGGCTCAGTGGCTGAGGGTTGACCTATGAACCAGGAGGTCACGGTTCTAATCCCGGACAGGGCACATGCCACATGCCCGGGTTGTGGGCTCAGTCCCCAGTAGGGGCCGTGCAGGGGGCAGCCCATCAATGATTTTCTCTCATCATTGATGTTTCTCTCTCTCTCTCCCTCTCTGAAATCACTAAAAAGTATATTAAAAAAAAAAAATTCCGACTTGTGCAGCTACAACACATGTATCACAGAGGAAGTTCATCAGAGAGTCTATGTACTCAGTAAGGACAAAGACGACAGAATCCTAGAGGAATAATGCAAATATTTGAATAAACAAAAATTGACACAAAAATGGGCATTTTTATCAGTGACTCTAATTAATGAGCTGTCCTGGAACAGTCCTCTTGAAAGTGACGCTGAGACAGGCTGTGGTGACCAGGTTCCTAGTCCAGTCTACATGTAACAGTTCCTGTAGAATCACAGACCAGAGCTACCTTCTTCATCCACGTCATCAGAAGAAAATAAATGATAATTCTAATGATGCTCTGAACACATTTCCTCTGCCACACTCCCACAGCACACGGAGGAACAAGCCCATTCCCCCAAGGGGAAGAAACGGTGTAAATGGGTGGCAAGAAGGCAGGAAACCCAGTTTGGGGCTGTTGTTTCTCACAGGTAGCAGTTGCTTAGAGGCACATGACAGTGGGGTGGGGAGAGAGTCTCACTTTGTTCATAAATTTGTAAATTCAGATCTGATGTTACTGTTTCTTCCACTTAATTGATACATGATTGATTCTGCTATAAATTAATCTATTTTGAATCCAATCGTTACATTTCATGAACACCCTAGTGCAGTGGTCGGCAAACTGCGGCTCACGAGCCACATGCGGCTCTTTGGCCCCTTGAGTGTGGCTCTTCCACAAAATACTGACTTCTGCTCATGGGCCACCAAGTTTCAATCGCACTGTACGTGCGCGCCCGCACGTGGTATTTTGTGGAAGAGCCACACTCAAGGGGCCAAAGAGCCACATGTGGCTCGTGAGCCGTGGTTTGCCAACCACGGCCCTACTGGAGCTATTCCTGCAGAGCTGAAAGTATACACCCCCACCCATAGGGCAGGCTGTTTTTCTCTCTCCTTTTTTTAAAATTTTAATATTTTTATTGCTTTCAGAGAGGGAGGGAGGGGGAGAGGGGGAGCGGGAGAAGGAAATATCAATGATGAGAATCATTGATTGGCTGCCTCCTGACTGCCCCCTACTGGGGATCGAGCCCGCAACCCTGGCATGTGCCCTTGACCAAAATCGGACCTAGGACCCTTCAGTCCGAAGGCCGACACCCTATCCACTGAGCCAAACCGACTTGGGCTCTCTCTCCTTTTTAGAAAGCTGCCTGGTTACCTTCCCCAGATTTGCCATACATAACTTTGGCAGTAATGAAGCAATTACATCAGACTTGGCTCTACAGCATGAAGTACACTTAATAAGCAGGAACATCCTTAATATCCAAATGTGATCCACAGGCAAGTTTTCATGACAAATGATCATTTCCTATATAATTTAGCTGGTTAGAGAGTAGAAAAGAACTGCATAATTTTCTTCAAAAGAATCCTACCTTTTGATCTTCGATCTCTTGTTCTTTTAGCAGTCGCTCCAGGTCAGCCATATCATTATGCTCAAATAACTTAATGTTACTACGCGATGCCTGTAATCCTTTCTGAATAGCAAAGCAGGCAGCTCTATCTCTGTAAGGAAGAGTACAACCAAACTGGGGTTTAAAGGGCTTGTCAATATTCTTAGCATTTGAGTAGGATGACCTACATTTACTTGTTAATGTGAACATGACAAATAAATAAAGCACACCTGAACATTTTTACATCACTGTTTGCGCTTCCCCCTGCAAGCGCTTTCCACGAAACTACATCCTGGTTCTGTTCTAAGCAGCACTCTTCTGTATTTTCACCTCGGTGTCAGCAGGCTCAGGCCTTACTGTGCACGGGCTCTCTGAGAAATGCACGAACACTCACGCTGCACCCAGCGGCACCTCTGGTTGGGATGCCACGCTCAAGAGAAGCCATCCCGGACAGCTGACTATCCGCAAAACCAGGTAGAACTCTGAATCTTGCAGATTAAACTTCCATGAGATCTTCTAAATTGGGTTCATTAGGAGGAAATATATTTTTAAAGTAAGTTGTATTAATTAAAAGTATATGCAAGATTTCTACGTCTAGGAAGATGAAGTAGACACATTTTCCCTATTTTTCTTACTAGGTGCCACCAAACCCCTAACATTACATATAAAATAAGTCTAAGAAGACTGAAAGATGGAGAGAAAAGTCAGACCAGCTAGGGACCTGAGAAATAGCATGACACGAGTTTCCTGGATTTCCCAGACTGAGGGCTGATGAAGCTGGCCACCTGGAAATGCCCCTGGAACCAGAGAGGAGGGAGCCCAATTCTGGGGTGCGTCACCTGAGAACTGCCCTCTCGCAATCCGGGACCCTCGGGGGATGTCGGAGAACCAGTTTCGGCCCAATCCCTGTAGGCCAGGCCAAGGGACCCCAGTGGTGCATGATCCAGGACTCTAGTATTTAAATAATTACTTTAAAAATGAGGAGAGTAGAGGCATGTAAATAAAGGTAAAGGTTTTATACTTAAACTGGTAAGAAAATGAGCAGTAGAATGTGATAACTTATGTGTATATATAATGTCATACTTAGAGCAATGACTTAAAAAACTATGCAAAGAGAAACAGTAAAAAACAATATTGGTAAATAGAAATGGAATCCCCATACATGGTCAAATAACCAACAAACAGGAAAGAAAGAGAAAGTAGAAAAACAAAAACTCAGAGAGCAAATAACAAAGAAAAGGGCAGATTTAAGGCCTCATATATCACTAAATGAAAATAGCCAAAACATATAATTTAAAGTTAGAGATTGACAGAATAGATTATACATGACTCAACCATATGCTGCCTACAAGAAATTCACTTCAAATGTAATAATAAAAGTAGTTTATTATTAAATAATAAAAATACACACACACACATATTATTCAATAACATTGGTATGAGTGCATATATATTACATACAATAAATATACCATGCAAACATTCGCCAAGGGAAAGCAGAATTGCCTATGTTAATATCTGATAAAGTACACTTTGGAACAAAGAAAATTACCAGAGACAAAGATGCACATTATATAATGGTAACAAGGGTCTTATCCTAGAGCCGTGGCTGGCAAACCACGACTCACGAGCCACATGCGGCTCTTTGGCCCCTTGAGTGTGGCTCTTCCACAAAATACCACGTGCAGGCGTGCACGTACAGTGCGATTGAAACTTCGAGGCCCATGTGCAGAAGTCAGTATTTTGTGGAAGAGCCGGTATTTTGTGGAAGAGCCACACTCAAGGGGCCAAAGAACCACATGTGGCTCGAGAGCCGCGGTTTGCTGAGCCGCAGTTTGCCAACCACTGTCCTAGAGACTTGGAATAAATATGCACCAATTAATAGAGCTGCAAAAGAAAAGAAACAAAAACTGATAAAAGTGAAATGAGAAATTGACAAATCACAACTACACCAGCTGATAGAACTACTAGACAGAAAATCAGCAAGGATATAAAAGAACTCAACAACACTATCAACTAACTGTCATTTATAGAACACTCCAGTGAACAGCAGAATATTCTTTTTAAAGTGACAACAGAACATTGTTTAAGAGAGACCACATCATGAGCCATAAAACAAACTACAACAAATTTAAATATTCTAACACTTGGAAACTAAACAATACACTTCTATATAATCCAGGGGTCAAAGAGAAGGTTTACAGGGAAATAAAACACAATTAAATAAAAATGAAAACAAACACATCAAAATTTGTTAGACACAACTAAAGCAATGCTGAGAGGGAAACTCACAGCACTAATGCATTACAAATAAACTGATAATGAGAAGGCAGGAAATAATACTAAAAGTCAAAAAAACTGAAAACAAAAATGGAATAGAAAAAAATGTCAATAAACCAAAAAGAAGATCAATAAAATAGACAAACCTTTAGGAAGACTGATAAAAAAGAGAGTAGACACAAATTACCAGTCATAAATGAAATGGGGTGTCACTACAGGTTCTGCAGACAGTAGAAGGATAATAAGGGAATATTACAAAGCACGTCATATATATAAATCTGACAACTTAAAAGAAATGGACTAACTCCTTGAAAAACATAAACTCACCCAATATGACACAGATAATTTGAATAGCCTTATAAGTACTAAGAAAATTGAATTTGTAATTAAAATACTTCAAAAAATAAATCTCCAGGTCCAGGTGGTTTTACTGGAGAAATCTACCAAACGTTTAAAGAATTAACAATTTTATACAATTTCTCCAGAAAATAGAAGAGAACACTTTCCAATTGATTTGATGAAGTACTATTCTGATGCCAAGACCACACATAGTCCAAAAAAAAGTAAACATCATTAGGGATCAGGGAAATGTAAATTAAAACCACAATAAGATATCTCTATACACCTATCAGAATGGCTAAAATAAAATGATAGTGATAATACCAAATGCTCAGAAACTAGATCACTTATACAGTCAATGGCAATATAGAATGAAACAGCCACTCTGAAAAAGAGTTCGGCAATTTCTTAAAATCTAAATATGCAATTCTGTATGACCCAGCACTGGACTCCTTGGCATTTATCCCAAAGCAATGAAAACTTACGTTCACAGAATAATGTGTAAGTGAATGTTTAGAGTAGCAACTCAGATGTCCTTAACAGATGAGAGGTTCAACAAACTGTGGTGCACCCATACCATGGACTATGACTCAGCAATCCAAAAAACAAACTCTTGCTCCACACAAGAACTTGAATAAATCTCCAGAGAATTAATGCTGAAGAAAACCAATCCCCAAACGTTGCCTACTGTAAGACTGCACTTGCACAACAATATTAAAATGACAGAATTATGGGAATGGAGAACAGATTAGTGGATGCCAGGGATTAAGAAGTGGGTAGGCGTGTAGGTGTAAACCCAGTATTTGCCTCCTCCCACAACCACATAAAAATTACAACTTAACCACAGAACCACCATCATTCAGAACTGCCTGAAATCTGGCTGAATGGAAGTCCTACAACTAGGGATTTAAAGGAGCAGCCACATCAAGACTAGTAGGAGAGGCAGAGTCACTGCAGAATGAGCTGGTCCCACACCCATGTGTGGCCGATAAAATTGGGAGGGATATCTTGGCTGCAGAGGTCCCCCTGAAGAATGTGGGCTCCCTGCCCCATACCAGACCCAGTATCCCAGGGTTCCAGTGCCAGGAAGAAAAGTCCCCATAACTTCTGGCTTTGAAAACCAGTGGTAATTGTGACTGAGTAAGATGGAGGGCTGCTGGAGTCCCAGACAGTTACTGTTAAAGGGCCCACACACGAATTTACTAGAACTCACTCCCTCTGAGCTCCAGTGCTGGGGCAGCAGCTTCAAAAGAGCACATGGGGAGGAACTGAATTGGCTGGCATAAGAGAGAGCTGGAGGGTCAGCTTTCTCCCAGACAGAAGTGCTGACAGAGGCCACTGTTCCTTTCCTGAGACCCTCCCCTGGTGATTCCCTGAGGTCCTGTTCCATCCAAATTTCGGGCCCACCTAAGCTGGTTCCAGTGGCTTTTCCATAGAATGGCTCAGGCTTTAGATTTTTCCTAAAATCTCTCAAACAAGCAGCATGTGGTCTCAGCATGCCCCATACCTCAGGCCCAAGGTTTGACACCAGCAGTAGCCAGCCTTGGGTCACAGCTTGGTCTCTCCTGGGAACCTCTAAGCTCAGCACAAGTAGCAGCCACCTGCAGATCGCTTTGTAGCTTGTGCTGAGTGGCCCAGGCAGAACACTGGCAGTGGCTGACCTTGGCCTGTACCTTCTGGCAGGCCCCAGAGCCAGTACACTCAGTGGACACCTTCAGACCATGTCAAAGCACCACCACCCAACCACCTCCACAAGCAACACACTCAAGGAGCAGGCTCAGTGGGCATCAAAGCCCTACTAAGTAAGTCCTGCTCTGTGCAGCGGTGGGTCCCTGCACAGCTGATCCTCCACGGTGGTCGGAGGTCAGTGGTCAGTGGCTACAGCCAGTCCTTGCAGATGATTGGGCTGAGGTTAAATCCCTGCCATCGATGTGCCAACAGCAATCAAGGCTCAACTACAAGAGGGAGGTGTACACAGCTCACACTGGGGAAGAACAGGTGGCACACCTTGAGTGCCAGCTTGTGATCAGAGAGGCTGTGCAACTGACCCTACAGAACACCTACTACATTAGGTCACTCTACCAAGCCTGGGAGATGTAGCAGCTCTACCTAATACATAGAAACAAACACAGAGAGGCTGCCAAAATGAGGACACAAAGAAACATGTCCCAAATAAAACAACAAACTCCAGGAAAAAAACTAGACAAAATCGAGACAAGTAATCTACTAGAGGCAGAGTTCAACACACTGGTTATAAGGATGCTTAATGAACTTAGTGAGAACCTCAACAGCATAAAAAAGGAACAGTCAGGACCAGCCGGTGTGACTCAGTGACTAAGCACCGACCTAGGAACCAGGAGGTCACAGTTTGATTCCCAGTCAGGGCACGTGCCCGGGTTGCAGGCTCAATCCCTAGGGGAAGTTGTGCAGGAGGCAGCCAATCAATGATTCTCTCTCATCATTGATGTTTCTATCTCTTTTCCTCTCTGAAATCAATACAAAATATTTTTAAAAAAAGGACCAGTCAGAAATAAAGGAGACACTAACTGAAATGACGAGTAATTTACAGGAGTCAACTGTACAGTAGATAAAGCTGACAATCAAATCAGCGATTCGGAAATAAGAAAGCAAAAAACACGCAAGTAGAACAGCAAAAAGAACCCCAAAAAAGTGAGGCTAGTGTAAGGAGCCTCTGGGATAACTTCAAGCGCATATCAACATTCACATCATGGGGATACTAGGAGAAGAGAACGAGCAAGAAACTAGAAACCTATTTGAATACATAATGAGAGAAAACTTCCCTACCTTGGTGAATCAAAGAGACATACAACTCCAGGAAGCTCAGAGTCCCAAATAAGATGAATCCAAAGAGGCCCAAGTTATTGGCAAGAAATATTCAAAGTGATGAAAAGCCAGGACCTACAACCAAGATTACTCTACCCAGCAAGGCTAGCATTCAGAATTGAACAGCAACTAAAGAGCTTCCCAGACAAGAAAAAAGCAAAAAGAGTTCATCACCACCAAACCAGTAATATGAAATGCTAAAGAAGAAAAAAAAGATAAAAATATGAACTATAAAGTTGTAATAAATACATATCTATCAACAATTGAATCTGCCCTAGCAGATTTGGTTCAGTGGATAGAGTGTCGGCCTGCGGACTGAAGGGTCCCAGGTTCAATTCTGGTCAAGGCCATATGCCTGGATTGCGGGCTCGATCCCCATTAGGGGGCATGCAAGAGGCAGCTGATCAATGATTCTCTGTCATCATTGATGTTTCTATCTCTCTCTCCCTCTCCCTTCCTCTCTGAAATCAATAAAAATATATAAAAAAACAAAAATAACCCAAAATTGAATCTAAAAAAATAAACAAGCAGAACAGAAATAGACTCATACAACTGTAATTTAAAAATTAAAAAACGGCCAAAAAAAGAATGTAAAGTAACTCATTAAAAACTTATGTTTATTACATGTTAAACGATACTATTTTGATAGACTGACTTAAATCAAATATAAAATAGACTTCATCTTAAAACTTAAATTAAAAATAGTGGGTAGCTTGGGAGGGACATGGGAGTGGCAACATGAAGGATCCTTCTGGTGATGGACATGTTCTGTGTCTTGACTTTATCACTGTCAATATCCCAGTGTGAAACTCTTTTATAGTTTGCAAGAGGTGACCACTGGGAAAGACTAGGTAAAAGGCACAAAGAATCTCTTAGAAGTGTATGTAAATCCACAATTATCTTAATATAAAATATTGCATTAAAAAAGACATATGAAGTAATATGAACATACACTTAGTAGAGTGACCAGGAAAGGCTTAAATATATAAACAACCACTGTGCTGAGACCTCCTATTGACAAGGCTTTATCACTGTTTACTAAAAAAGGAAGAAAATGAAGCTTCAGACATACTGTCTATGCATAATGAATTTATAAAAAATAATTTACTAAACACAGGGAGGCTGCCAAAATGAGGACAGAAAGAAACATATTTTTACCTATAATGTTCCTACTGAATTTCTGGCAAAATATTTAAAATTATAAGAGTAAATTGTCTCATGACTGACTAGAAACTGAAGTTCAAAGACACTGGGTATAACATTTGGAAGCGAATTTAACCTAGTTTTCTTAGCAGTTAAAAACAAAAGGATAACATAGTACTTATTATGTGACAAAAGAAGAATACAAACTCAGTTGTAACTGTACACTTTTTCTGGACTTAAAACTCAAAAAGTCTATATAGTGAGGTTCTTATATGAGGTGATACTGGATCTGGATGACATGAATTTGTCTGTAACTATTTTTACTAAAAACCAGAAATACTTTAAATCAGCAGTTCTCAAGTCTGTGATGAGTCTTACTGGATTTTTTTAACTATGTGCAAAAAGTTAATGAAAACATTCATTCTCGTGACATGGGAAACACTAGTTCAGGCCATGTGCTGGAGAGCTCCCAGGTTGCGGCAGGGTGATAGCAGAATGAACAGCGTGTGGCCAGACGCCCAGGCAGAGCCTGTGCTGCGTCCTGGGCTGGGCTTGCTGCACGAGCAGGAATTCCAACAGTGGGTGAGAAGCAGTAGGAGGCTGCAGGGGCCAGGGAAGGCCAGTCGCTCTGACCCCTCTTTTGAGCGTCAGTCTCCATTCATTCATTCAGTGAACTGGTATTTACTGAGCACTATTAAAAGGCAATTAACTACTAAAACTGTTGTATTCCGTGAGTCTGAGGCAAGATGAGCAGAGAGCAGAGGTGTGTGTGCTACACACGCCTGACGACATGAGAAGGCCTGAGGAGCAGGGGGGCTCTGACAGGCAGCGAGTGCCATGTGGTCCTAGATTCACAAGGCACCAGACCTCTGTAGCTGTAAGTTCTTCTCCACATGCAGCATGGGTCCTGACCTGGCCTGAGAGGTAAGGGAAGACTTTCCTGCAGAAGTGATATTACATGCAGGGTGAGCAGTTATTAAACAGGAGATGAGATAAGGAACAATATACTTAGCATGTGCAAAGGCCCTGAAGTGAGGGGAAACTAGTATCTAAGTCTAGAACATGCAAAATCAAAATAAAGACCTGGATCATTATTTCAGGAACAATGGAAGCTCTTAAAAGTGTGACATAATCAGATTTGTATTTTTTAAAAAAATTTATTCTGGCTATGGTGTTAAAAAAAAAAAGAGAGAGAGAAAAGGCAAAAGTAAATTTGCTTTTGTTTTTTTAAATATGTTAAAAATATATTTTAAATATATTTTTTATTTCAGAGAGGAAGAGAGAGGGGGAGAGAATCATTGATCAGCTGCCTCCTGCACGCCCCCCCCGTCCCATGCCCGCCCCAGGGATCAAGTCCACAACCCAGCCATGTACCCTGACTGGGAATCGAACCATGATCTCCTGGTTCATGGCTCTACATTCCACCACTGAGCCACAACGACTCGGTGTAAATTTGTGTGTGTGTTTTTTTTTTAAATTCAAAGTAAATTTGTTTCTAAATTCAAAAGGTCATTTAATGGTCTACTCAAAAGACAACAGAGGCTTGGGCTGGAGGCTTCTGGAAGGTGCAGGCAGCTGCTTGTGCTATGCCAGCCATACCCACTTCTCTCTGTTCTTCCTCTCCATAGCGAAGAGCAACCCATCTAGTATACATGCATGAGGGGGCAGATTTGCACACAGGAATGAAGGAAGCCCTCGACTCATGGCTTCTGTGTTCTTATTTTTTTAAAAATATATTTTATTGATTATTTACAGAGAGGAAGGGAGAGGGATAGAGAGTCAGAAACATCGATGAGAGAGAAACATCGATCAGCTGCCTCCTGCACACCTCCTACTGGGGATGTGCCCACAACCAAGGTATATGCCCTTGACCGGAATCGAACCTGGGACCTTTCAGTCCGCAGGCTGATGCTCTATCCACTGAGCCAAACCGGTCAGGGTGGCTTCTGTGTTCTTAACATGCCATGAAGCAAGACCAGCAGAGACGAAGGGTTGGGCTGGGGTACAGAGAAGTGGAGTCTCACAAGGTTACCACATGGCCACAGAGCTGTGCAGGGAAGGGAGATGGTGGGCCTCCTCCGGGCTTCTCGATAGCAATAATAAAATCATAATGAAAGATAACTGAGTGCCGACACCTTGAGGTACTCATCCTTCTAATGACTGTCTCACAAATTCTGTAGAATTACTTAGCTGTGGTGACTATGAATTTCTTTAAAAACAAAAAAAATCATATTATTTTAGGCAGATAGCCTCTAACAAAAGACTTTTCTAGGAGGGCCAATATTATTTCCAAAGGAATTTGATTAGAAACGTAGGTAAAGGTTACTCACACAAACACAATGTCCCCTCTCTTAGAGTAAGCAGGAATAGCACTGGCTATGGTGGCAAATCCATACGAGTAGATAATGGCTTCTTCTGTCTTCATAAATTTTGCAAGGCGGTCTTCCAAATCCAAGTGCACATCTATTTCAATAATAAAAAATTAAATGGTTAAACTGCCATGTAACTCTTTTTCACTAACTAAAGGATAAAAATAAACAGTTTAGTTATTAATACTGTCACCTTATGGCCAAAATGTAATTGTTTTCAAGTTATCAATTACATAAGCTCTATTAAGATAATTCTGGGCCAATAATACTTCTAAAAACTGTGAACTGAATCAGCTACTCATCTGTCCGTACAATGTGGCTCCAATTTGGGGTTCTGCTTTGATACCACTCTAGCCCAAGAATTCAAGGCCCAGCCACTTTACCAGCTTTGAAATCCCTCAATCAATGCACAATATTCATTACTAATGCCTTCCTGCCTTTTAGCAGAAGTACCAAACCAAACACCAAGACAATTGTCAACCAGCTTCTAACAGAAAAAGGAAAAGGGGGGGTGGGGTGGGGAAGTGGTTCATTTACTAAAGAGAACTCCACACACTCTGCACAATACAGTGGCTTTGAGCAGTGGTCACTCCTCCACAGCGGGTGCCAGTACTGAACTGTAGCACCTGCCATCACTCTGCAGGATTGAATTTCTGCCTAAATTCCTTTTTAAGTGTATTGGGGAACTAAAATTTAAAGTACCAAGAGAAATGTGGTCCTTTTATAGAGAGAGCTTAGGAAGAATGCTGATGTAATAATAGGAACAAACGTTGATTATTAAACTTTTTCTTTTTCTTACATCATGGTTCCCTTTAGCCTTTCACCTTCCCAGGCTGAGCCATGAGGCTGCATGCCCCGGATGGAAGAACCAGTGATGTCTAGAATAAACAGTGCACTGACTGGCTTTGAACCTAAAACCTTCCAAGTGGTCTTATCAGGAGAGAAAAGGATGGTTACAACTCCCTTTAGCTCTTTTACTACAGCAGCACCAAAGCCTGGAGAACTGACCGGAGCTTCACCACACGCTCTGCGCAAGGAGAACCAGCAGCTGATAAGAAAGGTGCCGGGCAGGGGAGGGGGGGGGGCTTCATGGAAAAAAGGAGGGCGGTCAGAGGTGGGGAAGGCAGGCTTTCAGATCATGGAAGAGGGAACCGCAGCACGGCCAGTGAGGGAACTTGGAAGTCTAGGCAGCAGCAGGGGACCTCGATGGTGCCCAGAGAGGAACGGTGCAGAGGGCTGATGGGCTGACACAGCACTCTGGAGGCATCACTCCAGGAGACTGGCGAACCCCACCACCCTCAGCATCAGCCTTCCTCCAGGGGGCACTGGCACCTCCCTGAGAGACCAGGGCGAAGTGTAGCTCCTCACTCCTGAGGGACAGGTATGCCCTTCCCCCTCAGGGCCTTCTTGGTGAGAAAGGGGGAGAGGGACAAGACCTGAAGAACTGAGATATACAGAAGAGATGATGTAACCAGCTGGGTACAAAGCTGGACTGTGAGTGGACTATATTCCCACTGTAAGGGACATGGTGAACTGTCAAGGGCCAGGTTCTCACACCCTCCAGGAGGGACAAGTGAGGAAGGTCAGTTCAGGTATAGGAAATAAGAAACAACTTTCTTAGCATCTATAATAATAAAAGCATAATATGCCAATTAGACTGGACGACCTTCCGGAAGAAGCCGGGGCTGTGAGGGCCGGGTCAGCTGCAGCAGCGGGCGGAGGCGGGGGCGGGGCCGAGCCCCTTGCACAAATTTCATGCATTGGGCCTCTAATATTTGACTAAGTGCAAAATCTGTGAACCCAATCTCTGACTTATGAGGCGAGCTAATCTATTGTGAAGCTATCTAACTAGTTGAAGGCAAAATTAAGAATGATAAAAGTTGTAACTTCACAAAAGACTACATTTAAAAAGCAGTCAGGGCAGAGCAGGAGGAGCCAGCAGAGGAGCAAGGAGCAGCCGGAGAGAGCCAGCGGAAGAAAACCAGGAAGTGCTCAGTCCTGGCAGCGAGGAAAAGAGTTGGTCAACAACGTGAAAAACTAGGGGAGAGAATCGAAGATGGCGGCATAGGTAAACACCGGAGATTGCCGCCGTAAACAACCACTTCAAAAATACAACTAAAAGTCGGAACGGACATCAACCAGAACCACAGGAAGGCTGGCTGAGGAGAAACTCTTCAACTAGAAGCAAAAACAACAGCATTCCGACGCTCAGAGGAGGCGTAGTGTGGAAAATTTAAAGGTACGGTGGTGCGGTGGTGAGGTGGTGCGCGCGCAAAGCGGGCTGGCGGCTGAGGGCGCGGTTGTCGTTTTCAATCAGGAGTGAGTCTCAGACTCTGGGCTACAGATCCGGGCGAGTCTCTAGGGACCCAGACTCAAACGGGAGAAGCGGGACTGTCTGGCTACGGCCCCTCCGAGGTTTGCAGCGGTTGCTGGGACAGAGAGGCAGAGCCCCTGGGGACGGACTGAGAGCGGCCATAGCGGCTCCCTCCCCCCGCCCTGTTGATCCCGCCCACCCAAGCCCTGCGCACAGCCATTTGCCGATCGCCTCAGGCAAAGGCTGGATTAGCGCCTCCCCAGAAGACAGACGTTTTCCGCTCAGCTGATTCCTACAGCCAGTCGGCCTGGTGGTCAAATCCCTCTAGTGTTAACTACAACAATTAAGGCTTGGCTAGAACAAGACTGCGCACAGAGACCACAAGGGGGTGCACCAAGAAAGCATAAAAGATGCGGAGACAAAAAAACATGACAGAAATGGAGGATATGGAGCTAAGAATCGCAATTTTGAGGGCTTGCCATAAATTTGTGCAGAGCCTCACGAAAACTAATGAGACCCTCGATGCTACGATAAAGAAATTAGAAAGTAAGCATACACAGACTGAAATAAAGAATATTATACCCAATAGCAGACCAGAGGAGCTCAAGAATCAAACCAAAGATTCGACAAAAAACACCCAATTGGAAAAGCAAAATGAAAAAAGAATCCGAAAGTGTGAAGATAGTGTAAGGAGCCTCTGGGACAGCTTTAAGCGGACTAATATCAGAATTATTGGAGTGCCAGAAGATGAGAGACAGCAAGATATTGAAAACCTATTTCAAGAAATAATGGCAGAAAACTTCCCCCACCTGGAGAAAGAAATGGACTTACAGGTTCAAGAAGCGCAGAGAACCCCAAACAAAAGGAATCCAAAGAGGACCACACCAAGACACATCATCATTAAAATGCCAAGAGCAAAAGACAAAGAGAAAATCTTAAAAGCAGCAAGAGAAAGAGGCTCAATTACCTACAAGGGAATACCCATACGACTGTCAGCTGATTTCTCAACAGAAACTTTGCAGGCCAGAAGGGAATGGCAAGAAATATTCAAAGTACTGAATACCAAGAACCTACAACCAAGATTACTTTATCCAGCAAAGCTATCATTCAGAATTGAAGGTCAGATAAAGAGCTTCACAGATAAGGAAAAGCTAAAGGAGTTCACCACCGCCAAACCAGTATTATATGAAATGCTGAAAGGTATCCTTTAAGAAGAGGAAGAAGAAGAAAAAGGTAAAGATACAAATTATGAACAACAAATATGCATCTATCAACAAATGAATCTAAGAATCAAGTGAATAAATAACCTGATGTACAGAATGAACTGGTGATTATAATAGAATCAGGGACATAGAAAGGGAATGGACTGACTATTCTTGGGGGGAAAAGGGGTGTGGGAGATGCGGGAAGTGACTGGACAAAAATCATGCACCTATGGATGAACACAGTGGGTGGGGAGTGAGGGTGGAGGGTGGGGTGGGAGCTGGAAGGAGGGGAGTTATGGGGGGGAAAAAGAGGAACAAATGTAATAATCTGAACAATAAAGATTTAAATAAATAAATAAATAAATAAATAAAAATAAAAAGCAGTCAGGCCCTGGCCAGTTTGTTCAGTGGTTAGAGTGCCGGCCTGTGGACAAAAGGATCCTGTCAAGGCCATGTACCTCAGCTGCAAGTTCCCCAGCCCCAGTAGGGGCACGTACAGGAGACAACCAATCGATGTCTCTCTGTCTCTGTCTTTCTCCTCTTTCCCTTCTGCTCTCTCTAGAAATCAATGGAAAAATATCCTGGGGTGAGGATTAAAAAAAAAAGTAGTCAGATGAGGGAGATCCAACAATCTTCTCAATTAATTCATTTATTAATCAAACATTTAGTGAATATCACATAAGGACAGATACTCTGATAAGCACTGGACTGGGTTTCTGCCACAGCTCAGAGGGTCACCCAGCAGCTGTCACTGGAGAACTCCAGGCCGGGCACAGGTACAAGGTTAACCTATGCCTTCAACCGACAGGTCTGAAACACCTGGGCCCCTTCCACACTCAGAACCACAACACACCCAGAGCAATTTCTGACTGAAAAGGGAACACTCAACAGTGAACCAAAGGCAGGTGCAAACCAGGAAGACACAGATGGTCTAAACTAAACCCTGATTGGATGGCAAGGGAGATATAGCAAGGAATTAGAAAATTCAGAATCAATATCCAGAAACTGAAGCTCTCTTTACTCATAGGGTTCTTATAGGATGTTATAAGGCTACATTCTCTGATTCACTACTAGGAATCATCATCTTATTCCAATCAAGTAATGATAAAAAATTAAGGAGGTTCTTCCCATTTATCAGTTAAGATATGTATACTACCATAGTCTATTATAGAAAAACACACACATAAAACCATTTGGTTTTCATTACTAATTGGTTATCGTCATCTTATAGAACTGACGCTTTCATTATATCAACATTAAACACATTTGGGATTTTTACAGTAACAAAGAAGACTGTATCCCATCTGATCAAAATGGTACCAAAGGGGTACTTGGCTCTTCAAGCATCAGACCTGCACTATCACCACCACCAAGCATGAGGATCTGACCCAGCACCTGGCTGCTCGCCCTTCTATGACAGATGGTACCCACAGAGAGACTCAGGCAAAATCTGGCAAGAACAAGGAAGCAGCAAAGCACTAGAGAACCAGTGACCCCACACAGCCGCGCTCGGGCGTGTCTTCCTTGTCCTCCTCCGCAGTGCTCTTTGGGTGCCTCCCTACAGGCAGGTTCCCG